CATTATTTCTTTTAGGTTTGGCCATCCGGTTTTTGTCGTTTACTTCCATTTACTGCGGAAAATTATTAGAATTAGAGTTTGTAAAATAAACACTCGTTTCTTTGCCACGAATAAAAATTTAGATGATTTTAGATCAGCGAAAAGTACCCAGGAGAAGTAGGCTTTTAGTTCTAGTTTAACTCAGGAACTAATTAGAAAAGAGTTATTGTTTTTAACAAATTTTGTTTACCCATATCAATTAAATACCATAAAGGATTTTTCCAACAAAAAAAAATTTTTGCCCTCAGAGGGGTTGGTTGCTGTACAGTCCACAAGAACCCCTGGGTGTGACATGCGCCCCACTGTCTACATACGGCGTGGTGTCGGAGAGGAACCCGGGCGTAACAGAAATATATTCACGAGTTCAACGGCTTCAAGAGTTTATCGCGGAAGAACAATTCGGCAAGGCGTTTACCCGCATGCCAGAGAATAGACATCCCCTCCCCTCCTCTCTCTCTTTCTCTAACTTCGTCTGCTGTTGTGCACTGCTTGGCCGGTGACCCCTCGTTGCTACCCTACTGACCGACACATTGAGGGTGTTGACTCCAGTTGAAAAATAAAATAACTGGCTTCTTTTTGAAGAAAATCAAAACTGCAATGCCATAAGAACTGTAAGCTGATGTGAAAGTTTAATATATTTTACTGTTGTAATGGTGGGAACAAATAGAGTCTCACCATCAGCATTGACTTGTGAGGTTTTAAAATGAGAAGGTGCCGGAGCGGAGCTCACGCGGTCACTCTATAGATCTGTCTGTTCATTATCGTACCACTTGGATTTGCTAGAAGAATGTTCGTTTCGTTTTCATTAGATTCACCCGGCAAAAAACTATGCGAGCTAGACGCCTGCGAGACTCAGGGTAGGCCACCACGCTCTACACACGTGCTTTGCGAGCAGGGTGTTGCGCACCTACCAGGCGCTACACTCTAAATGTCAAGGGACAATTTTGTCCGTAGATTTGCAACGATTTCGTGCACATCCAGAAAGGATGCAATTTTGTTTCTAAAACTAGACAAATTGTGTGAGGCTTCACACAATTTTGTCCAATTAACGGAACAAAATTGCATCCTTTCTGGATGTGCACGAAATCGTTGCAAATCTACGGACAAAATTGTCCCTTGACATTTAGAGTGTATGAGAGAGCTGAACGAAGCCGATACCCAGTTCGCAACAAGCAAATGAAGGACGAACTTTTTTGGATAGTCTCTCAGTTGGGATTTGTAGGAAGGAGGAAAAAGGACAAGTTGCGGAAAAACTGTGGAAAAAGTCAGAAAAGTCCCTTATTTTCCCTTTTCCCCGCTCCCCCCCCACCCAATTTTAACGTTTTTTTTTATAAAGAAAAAAGGTTGTTATCGGAAAACTTACATTTTTCCTGAAAATAAGTTCCATCTGTATCCCTCAGGTTCCTCCGGAGCTCAGAGGCATGCCGCCAGGCCTAACCCGGGCCGGCTGATACCGCATGGACTACGCCGGGTCGCAGTCGCTATTTATAGCGCTGATAATTCATACGCGGTAGTTGCCGTTCAGCGAACATGTGAGACATATCACTGATGGCAGTTATGTGATTATGCATTGGTCATTATTATTATTGCAATCCAAGCTTTATTAAACGCATCATTATATATACTTTAATGGTCTGTTGTTTACACGAACAATAAATGAATCACAACACAATTTGAAGCTGCTCCATCGTGAGATTTGCTGCGACAGGTTTTTTCAAAAATTCCAGAAATGCCATCCGGTCGCTTGGAGACACCGTGTACCATGTACTCATGAAACGGTAGGCGCCTTAAAGGTAGAGCAACCTTTTTCTCTTTACTTTTTAGTCTTTGTTTGTATTGGACGTGTCGCCGGGAGCGGGACGGATGGCGCGCGGGGCCGCGAGCGGAGGCTGTGCGGGGGCTGGGGACCGGGTCCGGACCCGGGGAGGGATCGATGCGGAGGGGCTTGTGGAGGCTGAGGGGCGGGGTGGGGCGGGGCGGGGCAAGGCGGGACGGGGCGGGGACGACGCAGTCGGGGTGAGGGGCGAGGCGTCGACCCTTCCCTTCGCCGCCCCCACCGGTCAGTCGGTGTCTGCGCGCGTGAGCAGCAGGCCGCCCTGGTTGTGCACGGCGGGCGCGCGCTCCCTCCCCTCTCGAGGCCGTCGCCGATAGTCCAGGACGCCGACGTGGCGGAGGGCCATGGTCGTGGTGCCCGTGTGGAGCAGCTGGCCGGCCTGGCGCAGGCCGTGGCCCCTCTGACTCTGCGGACCCATGGGCAGGTACGTCGCGGGGCCGCGGGCCGCGCGTGGACACGCCATGGCCACGGCCCTCAAGTCTCACTTCGGGGACTGCGAGCGGAGGTGCCTGGCGTGGCGAGTAAGGGTACGGTGCGCCAGGTCAGTACATCGAGGCGATGAGTAGAGGGGGTGGGGGCGGGGCGTGTGTCTTACATAACTAGACCTCTCCTTGACGAGAAACGGTACGGTTCCATCACCAGCAGGACGAAAATAATTATCGGCTGCAAATACACCCCAGTCAACACATTTAAAAGAAAGTTCGGTGTTTGCATTACTGTTTGCAATAATTTCTGAGTGTTTGACCGCCTGACGACCTGAAACAAATGTTTGGCTTAGACCAAGAAGGGCGCACAAGGCGGGCAGCTGATGCCGAGCACGGATAAAGCCCACACGCGATAAAACCCGATATTCTTATGGTTATTTTGGGTCTTGAAAACACACACATGAATAGGTTTGGCACAGTCTGTGTGATGCAGTTGCAAGTGCTGCGCATTAATTGATGCCCCCAGTTTGAGCCGTACATCGCAGGCGAGCAGTACGCAGGCAGAGGCTGTGGGGTGCCCTCCTCCCCCCCCCCCTCCCCCCCCCTCTCTCTGCTCTCTCTCTCTCTCTCTCTCCCCCCCCCCTCCCCTGTCCTTTCCATAGGTTACCCATCCAGCCGCTGGAGGGCGCTCCCTGGCGTGCCGCAGTAGGCAGGCATCACCATCCATCAGACCTGCCTAGTCTGTCCGTCTCTTTCTCTCTCTCTCCCTCTCTCTCTCTCCCTCTCTCTCCCTCCCCCTCTCACTTTCTCTCGTGGTTCCACTCTTCCCGATGAAGCCCGTCCCTCCTTCCTCACCCCATAGGCAAACACCGGATATCCTCCACGGGGGAGGCGATGGAGGGAGGGAGAGGGGGAGGGTGAAGGAGGGAGGGAGGAGGGAAGGGGAGGAGGGCGTCGTTTGCCGCTCTCTATTCAAATTCACCGCACCACCCTATTTATTCTGCCCTACGACACTGCCAAATACAGCTGAGCACAATGTTTCGTGTTTCGTTCGCAGGTGGTTCCAGACGTCACCTTCCGCCTGCCCTGAAACGAAGAATAGCCATGGAGCTGACTTCACCCGGGAGAGGGATACCGGCTCGGGTAAGACCTAAGAAGCAATGTTGGAAATTTCGAATTTGAGTCTTCAGCTGTTTTGACGCGCTTTCGAACCTGACTGCTGGTTGGTTGTGAGCCAATAACAAGTTCGCCGCTGTTGTGCCGGGCCGCAGACTACTGCACCGGCAGGTCCGTCCAGAGCTCGGCGGCGTCCTCGGCGGCCGGCCCCACGCTCGACCACCTGGTGGACATCGCCATCAGGAACGAGCCCCGGGAGCGCGAGCGCGACGAGCTGGAGCGTCACGTGGACACGTTCAGCGACGAGCTGGAGCTGGTCGAGCCGACCACGGTGCTGGGGCGCCTCCGGCAGTCCGTGCGCAACGGAGGCGTGCTGCACCCGCAGAGTGAGTAGCGAGCGGAGCACCACCGCTAGCACGCCACTACTAGCACACTACTTCTGTTATCGGCTCTCCAATGAGCACACTACTGCACTTTAGTCGCCAGCTTTCTAGTGAGCGCATGTCTGAGCGCCCTTTTACCCCCTCAGGCTACTGGCACCTGGCCTGGCTGCTCCTGGTGACGGCCGGCTTCGCCTACAACTGCGTCACCATCCCCCTCCGCTCCACCTTCCCCTACCAGACGCCCGACAACTGGTCCACCTGGTTCATCTTCGACCTCGCCTGCGACGTGGTGTACTTCCTCGACCTGGTGCTCGTCAAGCCACACGTCATCTTCGTGTACGACGGCTTCTGGGTGCGCGAGAAGAGCCTCACCAGGAAGCACTACTTCGCCAAGTGGCAGTTCAAGGTGAGCGAAGCGACGTGTTAGGGATCGTCCAGAGAGAATACGTCAGTTTTACCTCAGATCCATTCGGTAAATGACGAGAGCTCGGCGCCTGCGAAACTCTGGATAGGCCACCCCCCAGTACACGTATGCATTGCGGACAAGATGTTGCCTACCTACCAGGCGCTATGAGGCAGGGCGGGCCGGCCCGCAACGGCCAATGACGGACGAACTTTCGGAATGATGATCTCTAATCGAAACGAAGAGGCAGAGTACTCGAACGTGCTTAAACTGTAGCACAACCGAGGGGAAACGACTGTTAATCGTGGTGTCAGCCGGATTACGGATTACCCGGATTACCTCTGGAGTATCCTCCGGATTATGTTATGCTTTTTCTCTAGGATTATCCCTGATTACCCTAAAATTGCAACGGATTACCCTAAAATTTCCCCGGATTAGCCCGGATTTTTTCGAATTTTCTCGGATTACTCCTGCCGGATTACCTACCGGCTGTCAGCCGGATTACCTTCGTCGTTCCCCCCTCGAGCACTACACAACTTGCTCTGCCGCAGATGGACATCCTGTCGCTGATGCCCCTCGACCTGCTGTACCTCAAGTACGGCACGGAGCTGGTGCTGCTGCGGGTGCCTCGCATACTGAAGGTAAGGTGGGAGAAGTGGAGGTGGTGCTGCAGAGGAGAGGTACTTGTAGCTCCGGCGGAGACAACCATCCTCAACCTTCCTTCTGCCCTCCAGATGCAGACGTTCTGGGAGCTGTTCGACCACCTGGACAGCATGCTCATGTCGCCGTACCTGGTGCGGGTGGCGCGCACGCTCTGCTACATGATGTTCCTCGTGCACCTCAACGCCTGCGGCTACTACGCGTTCTCGGCCAGGGAGGGCCTGGGCACCAACAACTGGACCTACAAGGGCGGCGACGGCCACAACGCGTGAGTAGAGCGTGAAGCGAGCAACGCGTACAAGTAGAATTCGTTCACACACTTAACTGTAAACTGGAAATCCAAGACTGTACGAATGTCGGTGAGAACAAAATTCACACACTTCCAGGGATGCAACAAAATATTCACAATCACAATCTTGTAGGTGAGCGAAAAGAGTTTTTATACACTTGAAAGGTAGCAATTTACCTGTGTCCAACTGTGGGCATTGGTCATCTGCAGGTGTGTGAATTTTTCCACTCACCTGCAGCCTGCATGTATGCGACATTCGTACACTTAAATGTTCAGAGCGTAGTAGGATTATGAACAGCAGGTACTAAACATGAGACCTGCAAACGAAAAAGTGAATTTCCAAGTTTGTCGAGCACGCATAAACTTTAACTACTTGTTTAAAAAATCACAAACGATGAATGTAAACTGTAAAAAATCAACTGTCGGCCATAAGGAACAACATGTCTGCACACGAGCAAGTGTGTGCCTACCAGGCCGACTGTTACAAGTGTGTGCCTGCCATGGTCGACTGTTGTAAGTGTGTGTTTCGCAGGCCTGCCTGCAGGCATGTGTGTTCCTTATGTGTACATGGTCGACAGTTGGCATTACAGTGTAACATCGCGATCAAAAAGACTTTCTCTGCATTTGGTTGACGCCGTTTTCTCTCAACTGCCGTTGTCCACAGGTACATCCGCTGCTTTTACTTCGCCACCAAGACGGCGACCTCGGTGGGCAAGAACCCCCGGCCCGAGACGGAGGGCGAGTACCTGTTCATGACGTGCTCGTGGCTCATGGGGGTGTTCGTGTTCGCGCTGCTCATCGGCCAGATCCGGGACATCGTGGCGACGGCGTCCCGGACGCGCAACGAGCACCGCAAGCGGCTGGACGAGACGCTGGAGCACATGCGCGCGCTCAGCCTGCCCGACCACGTGCAGCGCCGCGTCCAGAGCTGGTTCACCTTCGCCGACCAGCATCAGCCCTTCGACGAGGGACGCATCCTCAACTCGCTGCCGCAGAAGCTCAAGACGGACGTGGCGCTCGACGTGCACGGCACGACGCTGGCCAAGGTGCACCTGTTCCAGAAGATCGCCGACCAGGCGCTCATCCGCGACCTGGTGCTCAAGCTGCGCTCCGTCATCTACCTGCCGGGGGACTTCATCTGCAGAAAGGTGGGGAGGGAAAAACACCAATAGTGAATTTTATTTAAATTTTGTTGAAGTCTTTTATTTTTTTGGCAACCGGATAATTTGGTTTCCTCGTCCGCGTCCGCAGAACGAGGTTGGCAAGGAGATGTACATCGTCAAGACCGGACAGGTCGAGGTGCTCGCGCCGACCAACGGCGAGGTGCTGGCCACCCTGGGCGAGGGCTCGGTGTTCGGCGAGATCAGTCTGCTGGCGCTGGCTGGGGGCAACCGGAGGACAGCGGACGTTAGGTGAGCCGGCTAGCTTTATTGCGTAAAGTGAAAAGAGTGTCCAATTGGCAGTTACAGTGAACAGTTTTAGCTAACAAGGTGGCGTTTTTGTCATGTTTTCTGATTCCAGGTCAAAAGGGTTCTCCAACCTGTTCGTTTTGAGCAAAAGCGACCTACACGACACCCTTGTCTACTACCCGGACGCGCAGAAGGTGCTCAAGCAGAAGGCCGAGTGAGTTCCTCACTAAGCGCTTTAGTGCAGCGGCCCTCGGCTCAGCATGCCTTGTAAACACTTTACAACTCGTTCTGCAGGGTGCTCATGCAGGAGAACGCGGACCGCGAGCGACGGGAGAACCGACTGCAGCGGGGGTCGTCGCCGTCCTCGCAGGAGGAGGACGAGCCCTCGGAGGAGAGCGGCAGCGAGGTCCTGGAGGAGACCGCCACGGACGACAGCCCCGCGGACCCTGGAGAGGAGGACCGTCCCCGGAGGCACCCCGTCGTCACGATAAAGTAGGCCTAAGGGAGGGGTGCGCGATATCTCGATTTTGATGAGATACCATATTTAAATTCGAAGGTCTCAATCAATATACTCCCGAAATAGACTTGAACGTTGCAAAAGCCTCGGCCGATATCGTGAGTTGTTTTATTGTTTGCTGTCGGTCAACCTCGCTCACCCGGCCTGCTCTGTCCGACAGGGTGCACGAGGTGTCGCCGCCGTCGACCTCCGTCGACGAGGATCAAGAACCCGAACCTGCCGGCGCGGCGCTCGAGGTCGCCGTCGACCCCGCGCCTCAACCACCCGAGTCGCCAGGCCCGCCACCGGGGCCCGCGTCGACACCGAGCTCGTCGCCAGGAACGCCAGATCACACCCAGAGCGGCTTGCAGGCAGGCCTCCTGACGCCCGGGGACTCGGACCTCACCAGCGTCACCTGCACGACGGTGTCGTCGCGGAGCTCTGGTAAGTGTCCAGTCGGAGTCTAGCCGACCGGGTTTCAACGATTTCCACACATGATCTTGTCGGATCTTGTACACCCAGCAGGGAAATAGTTACCTCCGGCAGTTTCTGATTTACTCATTTCCCTGGCGCAGCGTCCCGGTTCTCGCCCCGCAGCAGCTGCACCTGCACCTGCTCGTGCACCTGCTCCTGCAGCTGCAGCAGCTACAGCTGCAACCTTGCGGACCCGAGGTCGTCGGTGGATACGGGTGTGGCCGTGGCCTCCTCGCTGTGGGGAGACGACCGGGAGGATGGCGACGACGATGATGATGCCGGCGAGGGCGAAGGCGACGGCGACAGCGACACGCTGAGCGGCCTGAGCTCCACGTCGCTCTTCTCCCCGTTGGTGTCGCCCGTCCTCGGACCTCAGCCGCCGCATCTCGCCGCCGCGGCCCCCGTCACCCTCCAGCACCGGCGACGGGTGTCGGCCCCTTCGCCCTCCACCACCACGCTCGCCTTCGATGTCGCAGGTATTTAACAATCCCACCAACAAATGTGAATCATCGACGATACATCGATGCGGTGACCGATGCTGGGAAACTGTTTGTGGAAGTGGTTCACGAGGTTGGTATCGTCGTTCTGTCTCAGATGGGCCGCGGCTCGCACGGTTGTCGCTGTCCGGGCCAGCCGGGAGAGGTCGCCGCACGGGACTACGCATCACGCACAGGACCCACCTGTGACCTTTCCCAGTGAGAAATCATCGAAATCGATGCGATATCGGATCGATATCGAAACGGTATCGGCTATCGGATATGAGACGAATCTAGTAGGAACCCATTTATTTTTTCTGCATGCGGTATATCGATGTCAGCGATGTCGGTCTGGTATCTCTGCGATGTCACAATTTCTCACTGGGAATTTTGGCAGGGCTGGCCTGGGTACCAGCTCTCTAGATCAGATTTGCTTTTCCGCGCAGTAACTTGAATGTAACTTTTTCGCACATTACTAAAAGAAGAGAATGAACTTTTCGCACATGTGCAAGTACGTTTTTCGGTTTTTCTAGTAGGTGGAAATACTTGTGCAACTTGGTGTACTCGACTTATGTGGATTAAGGGGTGCATCAAAACACTTACTGTTGTACCTTCAAGAAAAGTGTGGCGACTTCTGTAACGTCAATGTGCGGAGAAAGTACACAGCTAGTTAATGCGCGGAAAAGTGGAAAATTAGTTAATATATTCAAATTTGTATTTTATACCCGTAGTGGCCCGATCGTTCCTTTGAAACTTTGCCTTGGTTCTCATATATCTCAAACCCGGTGAAGAGGGATTCAGAGTTGTAGAGATTTTCTAAAAAGTCGCACAACTTTGAAAGCCTTCGTGTCCTTTGTGTCCATCTGCGGTGGGTGTTGAAAGGAACTTTTTTTTGTCTGTGTAGCATCCACCGCGAGAGCCCGATCTAACGTAAAGTTACCGGAATGAGTAGTAGTCTCTTTGTGTTCTGGTACTTACTAACTTCTATTGCTAGACCTCCCCCCCTCCCCCTCCCTACACCCACGACCATATTTCAGAAAGGGATTCTTCTCACTGCTCTCCCACGACTACCACATAGATTTACTGCCCAAGTACACACTAACCGGATTTGTATCTTTTTTCGTACGAATGAGTCAAGCCATCATATTATTTGCACAAATTTCTGCGTTGATTTGAACACTTTAGTGTGTTCATTTGCACAAAATCATGCCGAGGGGTGCCCAACTCGAAAAAATCGTGTACACCTGATTACCAAAAAGTGATGATTACCAAGGATTACCAGAGACTACCGAAGATTACCAAAGATTACCCATGATTACCAAGGGTTTCCGAAGATTACCACTGACAAAAGATTACCAGAGATTACGAAAGATTTCCATTGATTACCACAGATTACCAGTGATTTCCAAAGATTACCAGTGATTCCCAATGATTACTAGTGATTACCAAAGATGACCAGTGATTACCAAAGATTACAAGTGATTACCAAAGATTTCTAGGAATTTCCTTGCTGGATTACTTAGTGATTACCAAAGATTACCTGGTGATTACCAACGATTACCTGGTGATTACCAACGATTACCTGGTGATTACCAACGATTACCTAGTGATTACCATGGATTACCTGCGATTACCACGGATTGCCGGTGATTACCAAGGATTACCGGTGATTACCAAGGATTACCGGTGATTACCAAGGATTACCGGTGATTACCAAGGATTACCGGCGATTACTAGGGATTACCGGAGATTACCAAGGATTACCGGCGATTACCAAGGATTACCGGCGATTACCAAGGATTACCAGCGATTACCAAGGATTACTGGTGATTACCAGGGATTACCTACTCTGTGTACACCTGATTACCTCAGTTGGGCACCCCTCGAAATCATGCACTTTAGCGCACAGTTTTTACAGAACGAAACGTAAGGTTTACCTTAGCAGGATCGTTTGTATAAAAACATACAAATACTGTTCGAGTGTAACATGAAACGATCAATAGACAGTTTGTCGATATGCGTGACAATCGCTCGAGAGCTGATCAACAGTTTCTGGGGTGTCTCAAGAAAGTAAAGTGCTCCTCGTCCTGGAAAAACAAAGGTATGACAGAACGGTTTTTATTGCCTTTTCAAAGGCATTACCTATTGACACCCCTAAAAAGGGTACCAGAAAGGTGTTTAATTGAATGCCTTTGGGCATTTCTGCAACTTTGCAACGGCATTACAATTGAATATCTTTTTCAAGATTTCAAGTCCTACCTTTGTTTTTCCTGTGCGAATTGACCCTTTACTTTTAACCCTTTAAGTCATATGTCATACCCAAATGACATTCACTTTGAAAGCCCTTTTACGGCGCATTTTTCCCCGTAAATGATTTTTCGGAGCACGAACGCGTTCCTCGCCAGGCGCGCAACGATTTGAACTCCCCGCCGGAACTTCTGGCCCCACCCAGTGCTGCCTATTTCCAGCCAAAAGTCACTAAATCGCACACCGCGTGCACGAGATCAGTTTGATGCGTTTCATGGCCTGGGAAAAGATCGAAAATATGTGCATGGGACAGGAAATGAAAGTTAAGGCCTAAGGAACAAAATTGTGTTGCATACATATGTGTGTGATATGTTTGGTGGCGCCCAGGGCTCAGCTTACAATGAACGTCCTTTGTATAGGACATGTGACTTGAGGGTTCCCGAAACTGCCCAAAATTCTCAGCTTCAATTATGACCGCGTTAAGCAACATATTTAGCCAAAATAAGTGGTTGTTGTGTTTGATATCATCAAATACGATTCAGAAACTGCCCGCCGATCGCTTTTACTTCAATTGTTTCGCGGGCGTCGAACGCGTCATCGTGACTGAACGAAGGTCTGTTGGCGCCGATGCGCCGGTAAGTTAGTTGATCCTCACTACGGATCTATCCTATTTATGTCACCCCGAGTTTGTCCAAGTGATATGTACCTAAAATACTATGATATTGTGGGATCGCCCGTTCTTTTGAACCTCCGGGTGTCGTGGGAAACCGGGAAAATGAATGTACTATAGGAATGACATTGTGAGTCCCGAGTCTTGGGTTGAGCTTTCTCTGAATTCTTGTCAGAGAGGTGTTAAATCGTAGTTTTATGGTTAAAACGATTGTAGAACTGCAAAAATATGATTCCAATGCTTCTGGAAGCTCATCTCAAGGCCTAAAGTTGCATCTTTGTCCCTCTTCGTTTGTTAGGCGTTGTACAAAACTCGGAAGTGCATTGTAGACACCCTTTTGCCACCATCACCTTACTCTCGACTGCTGGTAGCCGCCCTCTCAAGGTTGTTCAATATGTCTATTTCGCTGCCGAAGTCACAATGTCCTATACAAATGACGTTCATTTTTTTTGCTATTTGTATGCGTCTGTATGGTAGTATTAGGGTGAAATCAGACTTCTACCGCTTAAACCTATTATAAGTAACAGTTAGGAATGCGCCCATGCCTATATGTACAAGGAAAATGTGAAAATGTGCCCGGCAAAGCGAAAAATATGATTTCGCTACCCCGAAGTCACAATGTCACTTACATATGACGTTCTGTTCCCAAGGCCCTGAGAGCCACATCCTTGGGCTGGCATGGATTTCCTCCGGGAACACGTCAGTTTAAAGATTATTACGATAAACTTTTCACGGTGGGCAGGGGCATCTCAAAAATACGGCTACAGGAACGGTTTATGCAAAACCCTGGCCTATTATTCATGTTTTTAGGGAGGATTTTTTTTTCACACAGGTCTATCTTTTTCAGCCAAGACACTTGGGATACAGATACACACTCACAGAAAATTTGAATTGTCTACCTCAAATATTTAAGAAATTATTTTTGACATGGTTGACCCCCTGGAGTCACATGTCCTTTATAAAAGACATACCTCTAGACGCTAAACCGGAAGTCGGATGAGGTCGGGACCACCAAAAATGGATCCGCCACCCTCAAATTAGTCAGGGCAGACTATAAAAAATAATATTTTTCCACGGGAAATTTTCTGTGACTTAAAGGGTTAAAATGTACACTGTTTGACTAATTTCATTCCCTTGGAGCGTGGTGGCCGGGTGGCGGCGGCTCCCCGGACAGCAGAGGGAGACCGATATGACTCTTTGTGCCGAGGGTCCCTCACATGACTTCGGCCGGGCGCGCGTAGCCACTGGCAGGCGACTCCCAGTCAGACAGATGTCAGAACAAAATCAGAATCAGACATCGGAAACGTGTCAATTTCAGGACCTCATTTTTATCGATCGGTTGCAAAAACCGACAAATTTCTGATATCTGATGTCGTTTTTGATATCGGTCTGACTCTTCATTTAAATGAGAATTCTCACTGGGCTGGACTCCTCTCTACATTCAACATAACAACCTACGCTCGCGCCACACCGTGCTGGGCGTGTTAATCGTGAGCGTAAGTTCCCTGTTCCAAACGGATGTTTCAGAATTTCCTGACTCATGATGAATCCTGTCCCGCTGTCGTCAAGCTGAAAGGTGAGACCTCAGACTAGACCACCTTCTTGTCCCTGACTGGCTCGGCCAAGTAGAATTTTGTTCCATTCGGCGACCTACTTGCATGCCAGTGTAAAACCAAACCACCGGGTTCAACACAAGAAATTAAGTTTGATTTTATTAGTGAAATGAGGCGTGTCAAAATTTCGTGGATTTTTTATCCATACCATCTACAATAGATTTTTCTTCACGCGCCACGTCGATTTCTAAAAAAATAAAATTGAGTTTTAACGTGTCTCCGTAATAAACGCTCGCCAAGTTTCCCGAGGCAACGCGAGCGAACGTTTGGGGACGTTGGGAAACGTCAAGCGCCCTGCGAGACCGAACGTTTCCTCCCGTCGCACCACCCGAGAAGTAATGGTTGCTTCAAAAAACGCCTCCTCAGGTAACGTTTACTGTGGGGCACCTGAGTACGCGCAGCCCCCATACCTTCTGTTTAAGTGTCTAAATATTTCCTCATTCTCAATTAACATTAATTAGTGTAGTTAATACTTACATGTGATATGTGCTTTACAAATTTGTGTATTTTTTATATTAATAACAAATTGATCAACTATTAAAAATTGTTGCAACTTTAATCACTTAACGTTTTTATTTATAATATTATTCGAAGCAATAAAAATAAATAACAACTACATCGATAACGACTTCCATTTTCTTACATTCCTTGTCAGAGAGCCCTGCTCCTCACATACGTACAATGATTTGACCGAACGAGTCATTCTAGGCAGTATCGCACATTGCTCTGAGAACTGTTTCTCACTGGGGGAGTGAAGGTGAAGTTGCGCCCCAGAGGGTTTCATCGCAAGAAAATGCCTCAAGATCACAGCACTGTCACAAAAAGAAAGTGCAGACATTCTCTGCTACAACTTTTTGTTCCTTTGTTTGTCAATTTTTTTCGAATGTATGTTCCCTATAGCGCCTTTCAGACCCTCTCGCCACGAGGGGCGAACCTATGCTGCTGAGGCTCGACGGCGGCCACCGCCTCCTTGACGGGCTCCTTGGTCTTCTCCCGGATGTCGTCGGCGGTGATGCGGTAGCCGAAGTCCGTGCCGGAGATCTGGGCGCGCACGTCAGCCGTGCCGGCGGGGTCGGGCTGAGGCCCGTCGCCCAGGGGCTCCACCTCCTCCTTGGTCACTCGGTAGCCGTTCTCGTCGGCCTCGTAGTGCACGGTGCGGCGGAAGAAGCCGTCCGAGTACGAGTAGAGCCCGGCCAGGTTCAGGCCGTCGCGCGTCTCCTGGCGCACCTAAACAACAAAGTCTTTGTCACGCACTTGGACTTGGGAACGTCATGTATACCGACGACACTCTTGTCAGGCCTTCCCTACGCAAGTGCGTGAATGTTGCACATTTGTAGGTGTGTAAACGACATTTGTACACGTGGAAGCACAAAAGTGTGAATTTTAAAGAAAAAATCACACTCTCACTCTTCCAAGTACACGAATGGGAATTCACACATCTGTAAGTCTGCGACATTCACACACTTTGTGTTTCCAGTGTGGCCGCACAAATTCCGAAGGCGCTCTTACCTGCGCGTTGTCGGTCAGCTTGTCGTCGATGGCGGACGCGAAGGTGTAGTGGGCGTTCTCGGCCTGCTCGCGAGCCTCCTGCTCCTCGGAGAGCGACCCGGTCCGCGCGTCGTCGTCAGCCACGCGGATGGGGGTGGCCCCGAAGGCGGCGGGGGTGGCCGCCGGGGCGACGGTGGGGGCGACGGCAGCGGCGATCGGAAGGCGGCGGGAGTGCTGACGGGCGCGGCCGACCTGTGCGGGAATCCACGATTACGTAATTTAGTGTGCATTTTGCAAACAGCTAGTGTTGCGTGGGCGCAGTACCCCACACCAGCACACCCACCTGCTGCTCGGGCTCCTCCTGGTGACGGGCGCGTCCGCGGTGCACCTTGTGGGCGGCGGCGCGGGCGGCGGGGGCCGGGGTGTTGACGGGGACGACGTCGAACAGGCCGCTGGCGGGGTCCTCGGGCTGCGCCTGGAACTGCGGGGCGACCTGCTGCTGCTGCGGCTGCTGCTGCTGGAAGTTGTCCTGGGTGCGCAGGTTCTCCTGCCGGACTTGCTGACTCTGCAGGGCGCGGGTGTTCTGTTGCTCGAACAGCTGCTGCTGCTGCTGTTGTTGCTGCTGCTGCAGCTGCAGCTGGTGCTGCTGCTGCTGCTGTTGCTGCTGGAGGTTGTCCTGGAAGCGCAGGTTCTCCTGCCGACTCCTCTGGCTCTTGAGGATGCTTCTGTTCTGCTGGTCAAACTGCTCGGCGCTCTGCGCCTGCTGAAGCCTCAGGCTGTCGACCTGCGCCTGCTGCGCCTGCTGGATGCGCAGGTTCTCCTGGTCAAACCTCAGGTTCTCCTGCTCCTCCTGTGCGGATGCACGAGTGGGGACCTGCAGAGAACCATTCAAAAAATGCATTCACTCGTCTGCTGGGGAGGGATTTCAATTCATCCCCGACACTCTCATCTACACCTCCCCCCCCCCCAACCTCCTAGATGATTTTTACTGCTGATTTTTTTTTTCAGAAAAGCAATGCCCGCGTCTGATAGAGAAGAGAAGGAAGTTCAAGGTTTTCGTACGAGATGACGTTCGTGCGCGCTCGTGCCGCTGTATGCTCAGCTGTGACAGAGCTCCGACTAGAAATTTATGGTAGGCCCAGATTGGCCCAACAGCAGAGCGCATGCCTATTTCGTACTCTTTTTAGTCTAAGAAAATACTTCAGGCTTTCTGCAACTCATTTAAGTGCACAAACAAAGTCAACGGTTTTAACTTTAAAATAAACATGAACAAAACCGGACAAAACCCACCGAAAACGCGATACCTGCCGGAATTGAAAGTACCCGTGTGTATAAGCAGTATAAAGGGCTACCCAACACCACCGCGTTGCTGCAGTGTCGCAGCCCCTGACACGACACACAAGTGAAGCGAGCCGAAAGCAACTTTTCTTTGGGGTCATCTTGCCAGGTTTTTCATGCAATAATTCTGTGAGGGTAGGCAGGCAGCTGTAACTCTCACCGGGTTGACCTTGGAGAACGGGATGGTCTGGCTGGGAGCGCCCTCGGCGGGGCGGCGGACGAAGGTCTGTGCGTCATGCTGCTCGATGGGGCGGGGCAGG